GAAGTTAGGGAAGAAACCCGGGGCAAACCCTGAACTTATGCCATAAAGGAGCACTGCTTTCTGAATTGTTCTCTCAGCTTATTGAGCTTGATGGGGACGGGGAGTATTTTTATTTCATATTGTAATTTCTCCTTTCCCTTTTATTCCTCCAAACCTTCTCACATACCCCTCTCTACTCTCCTTCAAATTCATGGGCTTTTTTTTTTCAGCAATTGCTATTGCACGGATGTATGTAGTTCTACATACACACACATTCAAAAGCATAACCTGTTGAGTCCGTATGTTGTTACTTGTGTATCTGTTTTCAGAGCTGACCAGTTTGCAGCAGACAAACACCTGGTGTGTTCTTCCTTAGGGAGAGTCACTTCTCCCTCTCCGGCTTTCCTCAGTTTCCTAGAATTCTTTGTGTAGGGTTGAGGCATTATGGGCTCTTGCCAGTCCAGTCTGGCTCGGTCTGCTTTATTATACCTGCAGGACCACCCGCCCAAACAGCAACACTCACAGGGCTTGGTCCCTCCTGATCAAACAATAGTCAAAAAATGTCCTAAAGACTTGTCTACAGACCAGTCTTATCGAGGCATTTTTCTCAGTTGAGATTTCTCTTCCAACATAACTGTAGCTTGTGTCAAGTTGACAAAGAAACTAACCAAAATGATTTGGAAAAAAAAAAAAAATCCAACCAAAATGCAGCCAGCAAATTATAAACACTAATAACCATGTATCAATAACAGCTGGGAGACAAAAGTGAATAAAATGTAATAAAAAAACAAATAATTTTTTAAATGATAACCTTTAAAATTTTCCCTTTATTATTATTATTATTATTATTATTATTATTATTTATTACAATCTATTCTCTTTGTATCCCAGCTGTAGCCCCTCCCTCATTCCCTCCTGGCCTCATCCACACTTCCTTTCCCTTCTCATGACCCTCCCCTAGTCCACTGATAGGGGAGGTCCTCCTCTCTTACTATCTGACCCTAACCATGCCAGTAACTTCCCCTGCTCCCCTTACTAGGAAACCCACATGGAGACTGAGCTGCCCATGGGCTACATCTGAGCAGGGGGTCTAGGTTCTCTCCATGCATGGTCCTTGGTTGCATAAATAACTTACAAAGAGAAATGCAGAGCAATTAACTAAATTAGAAATCAAAGTTAAATTATTTTTATCTACAAAAATTACACCTCTCTGGCAAAAACTGCCACTGAATAAAAGGCAATCCAGTAAGCAAACAAAAGCCAAAAGTCATAGCTCTTCTGATATCTGAAAAAAAGACATATAACAAAAATAGTCATTAGAGATAAAGAAGGCCACAAAGAATTAATAAGATAAATACTTCATCACTATTAGTAAGGATTATAAGTATATCTACACCAAATACTGAGCCTCCCAATTTTATAAAACAAGCACAATGCACATGAAAGATTACATGGATTCTGATGTAATATTAGTGAGTAGATTAAATACTCTCTTGTCATATTTTAAAAATGTATTCATTATTATTATTGTGTATGAGTGTGCATGAAAGAGGGGGGTGGGCATGCCTTGGCACTTGTGGAATTCAGTGACTGCCTGTGAAGTCAGTTCTTTCTTTAACCTTTTACCTGAGATCTATTGCTCAAACTCAAGTCACTAGGTTTAAGTGGCCTTTGCCTTGTGAGTCATCTCAACTCCACTCATTTTACATAGTTCATACAAGTTATCTTTTAAAAAAACTAAAAAAAAAGTCAAAATTAAACTATGACCTAACCAAGTGAACTCAATCGATAATCTCAGAATATTTCATCCAACAGATATGAAATACACAATCTCAGAAGGCCATGGACCGGGATGGAAGTCAGTTGCACTTGTAGGCCTGTTTTTCCTGTGACCGAGGCTGGGGTTAAACCCTATTGTACAAGCATTTTGGTGTCCACTATAGCTGTCTTCCCCTTAGCAGACTATCTTCTGTGTGCACCAGGGCTTTCCCTAGCCAGTCTTAGCTTTGCAGTCTTCTGCACATTCTGCTACCTTGCTGAGACTCCTCCCATTGTGTCGTCTGAAGTGACTGATGCTCAAGCTGAGGGCTTTCTCCTAAGCGTGCCAGGGGAAGTAACAATATTATAAAAGAGGAGGCATCAGACTTGGAGCACTCCCAAGTGCTAATCACCCTGTTGGAGGGATATACATGTGGATGTCAAACTTTGTTCTTAGAGCTTCATACTTTTCAGATTCTCCAGTGGTGAATGTTAGAGAGGCGGCTTTAGATGAGGATGACCCACTTGCTGACATCAGGCACAAAGCCCTCAGACTCCAAGATTATTCTCAGTTGGTAAAGTCAGCTTCAGGTCACCAAAGACTGTGCTGTCCTTCCACACAGACTTCACACTACATTTCCTGAGCCTTTCTTTTGTTTGTTTGTTTGTTTGTTTGTTATTGAATTCCTGCTCTCTACAGCTGTCATCCTAGGACTTGAGCTAGTTAATTGGGCCTCCAAGATTTGTGATCATTGTCGGAACTCAGGCCCCCATTGTAACTCGATTTTAAACAATGTATCCCCGCTTAACATGTTACTCCCTGAGATGGATAGAGGGACAAAGTGGGGTTCCTCTCCATTGCTCACCCTTTTGCTAAAGGCCTTGGTCTCACCGAAACTTACAACCAGATTTGAGGCTCCTTGAGGGGGTGAGCATGGCAAAGGCTAGAACTACAGATTTCTTTTCACAGGGTTGCCTCTCTTGCTTCCGGGTAGACTCACTTCCCGTTCTGCCACACAGATGGAGATGTCCTGCGCTTGACTTGTTTCTACTCACCTTCTTTCTCTGCAGCTCTCAGATGTCTTGTTCTGATCTTTATACATTTCCAGAGTTCTTTCTTTCCTTCTTTGGAATACAGTCTTTTTTTTCTTCTTTAATTATTTCTCTTTACCAAGTCACACAAAGGCAATTTCTAGTCCATAATCTTACCCAGAAGTCCAAGTATTAAAACTTCAGTCTGCCACTGCTGATATTGCAGAAATGCAGATGATGAATCCTATATCCAAAGTGTTTGGGACAAGAAATATTTTTAGATTGATTTGATTTTTCTATTATTTACACACACCTAAGTTACCTTGGTTGTGGGACTCAAGTCTAATTGTGAAGTCTGTATATGCTTCATATATACCTTACATACATAGCTTGAACGTAATTTTACAACATTTCCAATGCACATGAACCTCTCACAAGAGATCAAGTGCCAGACTTGCCAATGATACTTTCCTGTTGACAATCAAAAAGTTTTGGGATGCTTTTACTATTAGACATGCTCAGTCTAGGGTAAAACTCATCTCTTGACGATGTAAAAACTGCCAGTTGTTGTCTCCACTCATGACTGATAAATTTTAGTTTGTAAAAGTTGAGGAGTATCTTCTTTATGCTTTAGATTGACTGAGGATGCATTTTGTGAAGGAAGGAAGGAAGACATAGCTCTCTTCCTGGTACGAAGCATGATCAAAGATTTAGTGGGAAAGCTGTGAAGAATGCACATGATACTGTCCATACAGCTAAAAGTAGACTTCATAGCACCAAGCCCTCGCTCCAAACCTAGCTTGCTTTGCTAACTTAGGCTAATTAACTTACCTGCAATAATTTACTTTCTTTGCCCATGTTAGTTTCTCATAGCTGCCGCAATAAGTTATCACAAATGTGTTGGCTAATGCATCAGAAATTTCTTCTCCCTCGTTTCCGGAGCCTGAAATATGAGATGAGTTTCTTAGAGTTGGATTTGTTGTTGGCAGCGCTGTGCACCATCTCAGTTGGGAGATTATGTCTTCCTTTCGTCATTCTCCTTCTGGCGGCCACGGTGTTTATTGGCCATGCTTGTATCACGCAATGGCTATTTCCTGTCTGGGCACACTGACTACTTCCCTTTCTCTGTACACCTCATCTCCAGTTATGTCCCTTTCATATTGCATACATGTTATTTTAGCTTAGTAGGGTAACATATGCTGTGTTCAAGGCCAATCTTCGATGCACAGCAAGTTTAAGGACAGTTTCCGTTTGTTAGAAACTACATAGGAGAAAGAAAAAATAACTAAAGAATGAATAAAAGGAAAGAAAAAGAAAGAAGGAAAATATTTATATCTGGGCCCACCCAGATAATCTGGTATAACATCCTGAGCCCTCATCCTTAATTATTTACTGATACATAAGATAAAATTCACTCATTCTAGAAACTTGACATATATTTTAGAAGAAATAATTATTTATTAAATTATAATAAATTAATAATACCTTCATGAATGCTAAAAGCTACATAGTTAGAGTTTCATATCTGTTGATTTCTTATGCATATGTTTTACCAATCAATAACAGTGAAGCAATACAAAACCGTATCACTACAGAACTTGTGCAAACTATTTTCTCATTATTTCATTAATTACTTACATGACATTTACATTTTATTAGGCATTATAGTATAAAAATTGGAGATGACTTGACTTTAGATAAGGATAGCTACAGATTATATAAAGATATTGTACCATTTTACATAAGACATGAGCATGCATACGCTTGATATCTGTAGAGGATTCTGAATAAATCCTCTATGAGATCCCCAGATAAATCTATAGTATGTGAAAGTCTCATATAACATCACCCAAAGGGCAATGAAGCACTCAGAAAATATGAGTTAGCATGTTGATATCAATGATAATATCACACCAAGAAATGTAGCAAAAGTTGTTTCTGTCTAAGCAAAAGACCCCTCACCCCAGACTTTTGATATGTCCAAACCTTTCAAGGCTAATATCATTCAAAAAATTATGTCTCTACATTGAATGATTATAACTCAGTAGTACAGACATATGATATTCACAGACATGTTTGACTTTGGATTTTCTTCTTCTCTTTTCTCCTCCTTCCTCTTTTTCATTTGAAATTGAAATCATCTCAGCACTTCCACCTATCCTGGACCTTTCCAATGTCAAAGCCAGAAGCACGATGTAATGAAATTTTCTCTTTTGTCTTCTGCCATGTAGGACACAGACCTGATGACGTTCAACATCTCTGTACATCGGTCATGGTGGAGGGAACATGGACCTGGCTGTGTCCGGAGAGTGCTGCCCCCATCAGCCCATGACATGGTGGATGACTACACGTATGTCTCAGTCACAGGTTGTGTGGTCGATTTCCAGTACCTAGAAGTCATCCACAGTGCTGTACAAATACTGCTATCTGTAAGTCTCACTTGGGTGTCATTGTCCAATATAGAGTCTTATTTGTTGACATCTTGTGTCTGCCACCAGGTAGGTAGTGCTTCTGATAAGCATGCAGAAGACATTAACAGTGGAATCAACAATAATTGTGGAGTCATTAATGATAGGTAACAGCTAGTTACCTCATTTTTCTTCACATAGAGGCATTTTGTTTAGAACCAAGTAGTCACTAATGTTTCCAACTTGAGACTCAACCTACACTATCAAGTGAAATGACATCATCACCACCCAGATTGCTCTGTTATCTAGTGGGCACTGCAAGCTTTGCTGCTAAGATATTCTTCAAATAGTGCACTTCTTTCCGGAGGAAGGATGGAAGCACTTACAGTGGCTAGCTGATCATGATGCCCTCCATGCTCCAAATAATCATTCCTTAAAAAAATAAAGTCCCCCAGAAATGTTTAACATGTGGTGTCAGGACATAGTTCTCCTAAAGAAAAAAAAAAAAAAAAAAAAAAAAAGAGGAATCCGCTTGTTATACCACAAAGACTGTTATGTACCAGGCATTCCTTAAGGTAATTTCTTACCATGAGACTTCTGTTTACATTTGACCATTATATGGAGTGCAAAAATGTGTAACATCAAAAACAACGTAGAGTGGCTTATATCGCTTTGAGACAGGGTCTCACTCTGCAATTCTGACAGGCCTGGAATTCTCGACTTTAGATCAAGCTGGTCTTAAGCTCACAGACACTCCTGCCTCTGTCTCCCAAGTGCTGGGATTAAAGGAGTGTGTCACCATGCCCAGATAAGTATAGTGAGTCTTTTAGATCCTCCAAGGACTTAATATTTTAGTAAGAGTCAAAACATAATATAAAAATTATCAACTTTCTTTTACCCATAAAGTAGCTACTACTTAACACAGTGAAAGGCGTCTCACTGTGGTGAACCTCCTTTTAAAGTGCCAGCAAGAATTTGATTATCCAAGATTCTTACAGTCTTGCTTTATAAGTGAAAAACTTTATCATCATTTTCCACATGATTTTTATGTTTTCTCTGGTCCTTCTTTAATCCAGCAGTTATAAATGAAATGTCAATAAAATATATGTGACTAAATCTTTGCTTTAAAAATCTGGGACGAGCATTCTCTTAATATTTTTCAGTCTGGTTTAAAATATCAAAGAACTGTGTGGACATGGTGATAAATGCCTTTAATCCCAGCACTCAGGAGGCAGAGGCAGGTAGATCGCTGTGAGTTGAAGAGCAGCCTGGTCTACAAAATGAGTTTCAGCACAGCCAGGGCTCTGTTACACAGAGAAACCCTGTCTCAGAAAAAAAAAAAAAAACAAACCCACAGATATATATTACATATATGATATTAACTTGTATGTGTGTGTGTGTGTGTGTGTGTGTGTGTGAACTAACCATTTACCACTTCTAAGTTTTCTTATTAATTTTTTAATCCAAAACATTTTCTAAACTCATATATAGAAAATAAGAAAAATAAACTTCACTTTAAAATGTTCACAAAAACTTGCTTAACCATACTGTGAAATAATAGCATGTTCTCCAAAGCTTTACAGTGCAACAAAATGCAGGAACTAGAGCCATTTTTTTCCAGAAATTAGCAAATAAAGTAACTCAAACCGAAATGCAGAGCAAGGTGAGAGCATTTGATAAGGGTTGGCTGCTCATAAAAGTATACCCAAAGGAAAATCTAAATAAACTATATATTTTTTAAATTCATTTGAGTGACGAGTCGGAGCTGTAAGGGTACATTCATAGGTCTGACTTTATTATGCAGACATTAGAAAATTAGCAGTTTAGCCATTGCGTTCAATACACTTGAAAAGCTTCATCTAATGTGTTATTTTTTAAATGGAAATATAATGCACTCTGATTTGTTTCACAGCTCTAGGATGATAATAGGCTCTTCTGATTAGCAAGGATGAAGACTACTTGATGAAGTCTTGCAAATTTCTAATTCCTACAACATACTGATAACTGTCATTTACAGATATTTCTGGATCCCTATACTGTTCTTCCTATTTGTGCTTATTTATGGATAAGATTTAATTAAGTACAATGAAAGTAACAATAAAAAATTGTACTAGATTTTAGCAACCTTAGCATAGGTTTCTCTATCTTTCTCTCTCTCTCTCTCTCTCTCTCTCTCTCTCTCTCGTTTTAAGTTAAAAACCTACATCTTCTTTAGGTATTAGGTGTACAGTTTTTAGTATCATTATCCTATATTATATGTCTAATACCCACTTATAAATGAGTATATACCATGTATGTCTTTTTGCTTCTGGGATAACTCACTCAGGATGATCTTTTCTAGTTCTATCCATTTGCCTGAAATTTTCATTATTTCCTTGCTTTTAATAGCTGAGGAATATTCCATTGTGTAATGTACTACAATTTCTGTATCCATTCCTCAGTTGAAGGACATCTGGGTTATTTCCAGATTCTGGCTATTACACATAAACCTGCTATGAACATAATTGAGCAAATGTCCTTGTTGTATACTTGAGCATATTTTGAATATATACTTAGGAGTGGTGTAGCTGGACCCTGTGTAAAATGCTCAATCCTCATTCAGAAAGGCAAATGGGAGAGACAACAAAAGAAGGAGAAAGCAGGGAACAGGACAGGAGCCTACACAGAGGCACTCTGAAAGACTCTGTCCAGCAAGGTATCAAAGCAGATGCTGAGGCTCATAGCCAAACTTTGGATAGAGTGCAGGGAATTTATGAAAGAAGGGGGATATAGAAAGACCTGGAGGGGACAGTAGCTCCCCAAGGAGAGCAAGAGAACCAAAATATCTGGTCCCAGAGATCTCTTCTGAGACTGATACTCCAATCATGGACCATTTATGAAGACAACCTAGAACCCCTGCACAGATGTAGCCCATGGCAGCTCAGTATCCAAATGTGTTCCCAGTAAGGGAACAGGGACTGTCTCTGACATGAACTCAGTGGCTGGCTCTTTGATAACCTACCCCTGAGGGGGGAGCATCCTCGCCAGCTACAGAGGAAGACTATGCAGACAGTTCTGATGAGACTTGATAGGCTAGGGTCAGATGGAAGGGGAGGAGGACAGCCTCTATCAGTGGGCTGAAGGAGAGGCCTGGGAGAAGAGGGAGAGAAGTATCCCAGAAGGAGAAAGACAAACTTGGTATATACTTGCTTATATAGACCTACAAGATATGATAAACATAATGAAATCTATGCACCTAAAGAAGATAATCAAGTAAGTGGACATGGGTGAAGATGATCAATCCTCATTTAGAAAGACAAATGGGATGTGCATTGAATGTATGACAGGAGTCTACCGCCAAAGGCATCTGAAAGACTCTACCTAGCAGTGTTTCAATGCAGACACTAAGACTCATAACCAAACCATGGCAGAGTGCAGGGAATCATATGAAAGAAGGGGAGTTAGTATGATATGGAAAGGATAGGAGCTCTACAAATACCAAATATATCCGGGCACAGGGTCTTTTCTGAGACTGACACTCAACCAAGGACCATCTATGGATATAACCTAGAACTTCTGCTCGGATGTGGCCCGTGGTAGCTCAGTAACCAAGTAGTTTTCCAAAGTAAGGGGAACAAGGACTATTTCTAACAGGATCTCAAGGGCAGGCTCTTTGACCTCCCCCCCCCCCAGGGGAGGAGCAGACCTGTTAGGCCACAGAGGAGGACTTTGCAGCCACCCTTGAAGATACCTGATAAAAAAGGGTCAAATGAAAGGGGAGGAGGTCCTTCCCTATCAGTGGACTTGGAAAGGGGCAGGGAGGAGACCAGGGAAGGAGTTGGGGAGGGGGAGGGAATGAGGGAGCGGGATACAGCTGGGACACAGAGTTAACAAATTGTAACTAAAAAAAAAAAATTAAAAAAAAATAAAGCAGCTTTCATCTCTTTCAAAAAAAAAGATTTGTAATGTATCTGTGGACTAGAGGACAGAATAATGTCAGTGTTAATTTTCTGGTTCTTTTTATCACTATACTGCAGTTGTATAAGGGATCTCGTTCATGAATATTTAAGGAACCATTGTACTATGTTTTCCAAATTTTTGTTAAGTCTGAATTTATTACAAAATGAAATTTCAAAAATACTGTTACATTTTTGGTTTATCTTACGTGAATGTTACATTTTTAGTTTATCTTACGTGAATGGGTGGCTGTCTACCTTGTGCGTGTGTAAGTATACATACCACGTGCAAGCCGTGGCCGTGGATCTTAGAAGCATGTGTTGAATCCCTAGAACTCGAGTCGCTGGAGGTTGTGAGCTCTCACGTAGGTTCTGGGCACCAAACTCAGATTCTCTGCAAAAGCAGCCTGTGTTCTTATTCACTGAGCATCTTGTTATACCTGAGAATATTTTTAAATTGTTAAAAATCTAACTTTCCAAACAATTTACTCAAAGAAATGCTTTGACTAACAATAAAAAAGTGAGGAAAAGTTAGAAAGTATCAGTGGAAATAGAAATCCGAGGCTAGGTCCTACACATTGACAACACTTGCAAATGAATGTGCAAGAAGTGAAGGAGAAAACGGTGTCTGTCTTGCATGCCGATAGGGGTGAGGTGACCTCATCAGTACTGGCAGAGAACTGCTGTGTGAGAGCAAGTGACAAGATGCGTTTGGCGTCTTAGAAGTGTGCACATACATAAAGCCAGTCACCTGCAGTAAGGGGCTAGTGTCTTCTCCCGACCCTCATCTCTGACACTTCATGGCTCTAGACACCTCAGAAAAGAGAAATAGGCAAAATACCCCCCCCAACCTACAAGATTACAATTGTGAATTTTTGTGAACATAAACTTATTTTCTTTTTTCGCATAATTCTAAAAATAGCACTTTTCTTACTAAGTTTGTTGAAATTCTCCACTTAAAAGTGGCTCCTGGAGATCCTCAAAGGCTGTAAATTTCTGCTGCCTCGCTATTATTAATAAAGACGTGCTTATTCAAATCCATTTGCTACAATCCGTGAATACCTCTCCAAAATTCTATCAGACATA